TTTCAAATGCTATTGCAATGTCCACTAAAAAGTTGCTAAACAGCATGGGAAGAGAGCTAAAACAAGGCTGCTCTCGGTTTCTAAATCTATTAACTTATGATACTACAGTTTACAGTGAGGTGATGCAAGTTGAATTTAGATGGGGCTTATCAGCTAGAGGCTTATACTAGATGACCAAAAGTGGGTCAATATATTACACTGATAAAAAGATAATTTTTAGCGCTGGAATAAATTAGCGGTCACCTCCGTAGATTCTAGTTATTCAGCATCGTTAATAATTAGTCAATTTATCAACTTTAGCCGTCGTAACAGTTATGAATGATTATAAAAAATACCATTCATTCATTCATTCATTTTATTCATTCATTCATTCATTCATTCATTGTTGTGACCGCTGTTATGAAGAAATTACTTACTTTGCTAACTCAATATTTTAAGCCTTGGAAAGGACTGAAATAAAAAAGCACTGGAAAAGGGAAAAGGAAAATACAAAACCGAGATACATATAAACGTAATACAGACATACGTAAACATAAACATAACAAAGATGGTCTTATTACAAACAGGGATAACTTAAAGAAGCTTATTTTACCTGCAGTAGTAGTTTGTACCGATTGTGTGGAAGATAAAATGTTTGACATTGTTTGTTGTGAAGTGGATTGCGATGTTGTAGATGAGGTGATTCCCGTTGTGGTAGACGATGTTGTTTGCTCAGTGGAAGACGATGTCCCGTTCTCAGTTGAGGTCGTAGTCGTTTGGTTTTCTTGTTTCACTGTTGTTGATTCGTTAGATGTTGTTGGAGGTAAAGTTGTGGTTGGAACATTACTAGATGATCCAGCTGTTGTTTGTTCCAATGAAGTGGTAGTCAACGTAGATTGTGTCCCATTTGAAGCTACTGACGAGGCAGAGGTTACAGGTGAAGTGGATAGTGTGGTGGGTGAGCTGGAACTCAATGTCGCCGTTGTACCATTTGCAGTTACTGTAGACAAGGTAGTGGTAACAGGAGAGGATTGAAGGGTGGATAAGGTGCTGGTTTCAGGCGGGATGGTTTGGGATGTTACAGAATTATTACCTGCAGTAGTTGTAGGAGCTTTTGTTGTCGTTGTCGTTGACGTAGTCGTTGATGAAGTGGTTGGGGTAGAATTTTGTGTTGTTGACTTGGTAGATGGTATGGGAGTTGACGCAGCAGTTGATAGTGTAGTAGTTGAACTAATTGTACTTGTTGCGTTTGTTAAATTATTAGTTGAAATAGTAGTTGATACCTTAGAATCTGTTGCTGCTGTTGTGTCAGCTGAAACGATAGATGATGCGTTCGTTAAACTGCCTGAAATAATAGCTGATAATGGCTTTTAAATAATAATGTGTCACAGCAAATCGTATTATGTTCGTAACCGCAAAAGAATGTGTTGTATTTTATATTGATATAATTAAATGGCATTATCAACTACGGTATAGCATTGACTTATGGTAAGAAACATTAAACCATGTCCTTTCTTGCCATGCCAGCATACATGTCAATTACTTTTAGAAGAACAGTGTAACACAAATATATTTTTAAGATGAAACGAAACGAAAATTACGAACTTAGCCGAGTTCGTTCACCCAAGCAAATGAACGATGAAGTACCAGCTTAATTTCTTAAATAGCATTGACTAACTTTATTTTTTCTGTTCATTATCACAGTTAAAGTTAAAATTAATCAGTGTAGGGCCTCGTCATACGACACGGATGTGCCAACGAGTCTGGCTCTATACTGGTGGCAAAAATTATCAAGGGTGAAGGGTAAAGCATTTACATTAAATGGTTAAACCTTTTATTGACACGGCCTTGTTAGAATAACCTAAAGAAGCTTGATATATATATTCAAATGTAATTCTGTGTCGATGTGACGTAAAACCCAAAACAAACAAACAAACATGTAATTCTTTAAATTGAAAAGCAAACAAACCGATGGTCTCTTGAAAATCGAATCATTGCAGTATAAAAACAAAATCATTCGTGAAATGAGTCGAGTCTAGGTTGAGTTAAAAGTTTTCTTGAATTGACGTTGGTATCTTATCATTTATTTAGATTGTAAAAGATTTTATTAATTAATCGCTCTATAGGTGACGGTACTGTTTCCATATTACATTTTGTTTAGAGCCGCGTCACGACAAAACCAACATAATGGGTTTGCGACCAGCATGGATCCAGACCAGCCTGCGCATCCGCGCAGTCTGATCAGGATCCATACTGTTCGCTTTGTAATAGAGTTGGTAAGCGAACAGCATGGATCCTGATCAGACTGCGCGGATGCGCAGGCTGGTCTGATTCCATGCTGGTCGCAAACACACTATGTTGGTTTTGTCGTGGCGCGGCTCATATATTGACACCACAACAGGTTGAACAATTTCCTTTTACAAAAAAAAGTTCCTCCTTAGTTCAAAGTCCTTGTATACTTCTAAAATGTTTTTAAATGTAGTCTAAATCTGGGGTATTTTGTTTGTAAATTACTAAAACAATCAACCTTTATCAGAATATTTATATTAATTTCCTGTATAATATCAAATCACTGTCAAGACAATATATCATTTACGTATTCTTACTCAAGGTAAAAACTAGAACACCATAGAAAATTCTACCTCAATATAAAAATCGGTAGTAGAGTTTTCATAAGTATGCGGTACTATTGGCCAAAGAACAGGACATACCAAAGAATCACAAGGATCTAAAATCAATGTCCATTAATTACTTTAAGAAGAATCATTAAGTACTGTACTGTATAATTAATTATACATAACAGCTAAGAGAAATGTTTCTTCTGATAAAGAAACACATTGTAACTAAAATTTACATGTGCAGTGCTAATCTTTTTTTTCCTTGCGTATCAGACAGGATTAATATTTATAGTTTGTATCGGTGCTAGAAAACCCTGTCTTACTCCCCGTGTGAACTTTAAATGACGACATTCCTGCGCGCCTTTTATGAATGAAATGCGTTAACTGATGACGTCACCTATAGAGCGACTAATTCATTTAAATAAATGATTAAATTGAATGTGACGCTAAACAACTTCATTTTTGAAGACGTCACATATAACTCCAAATTACTTACTAGACGTGACTCATTTCTCGAATGACTTTGTTTTTATCAATTATTCGCCAAAATTCTATTTTCAAGACATTACCGATTTGTTTGCTTTTCATTTTTCTCTTATGAATGGCGTTGTTAATTCATACGCTTCTATTTAATGAAAATATAAGTTCTCTTAATTTCTTTTCGAAATATCATAGATTTGTTATATGCAAGAAAAAGAATCAAATACCGGCTGTCGTCACAAACAGAGATACAATGTATTTAGTTCTCTTGAAACTGTTTAGTGAAAAGTCAGCCAAAGCCTCGTTACACGTAAACAGTTACCCTCGACCTAAATATTGCGGTCTGTAACGGCAGCCGGTGTAAGCAAGGTTTAGGTCATGACGTGGTTGCGCAGAAAAATCTTTGTTAATTTGACAAAATGGCTACAGAGTCAGGGGTGTTTACAACACCGGCACATATTTATTACAGGTAAGTAGGCTTGCATGCTATTTTGAAATTTATTAATATGCCTGTTCCTTTCGGTTTTTTGTTATCAGCTTCCTGGCTTCTGATTTGACGAAGTTATTGAAGACATAAACTGGTCATGTACATATTTTGCTATTTGACAAGTGGCAAGTCTGGTCTGATTCTATTCTGGTCCTACTCATTTATTCACATCTTGAATTTCTGAAGTTCCCCAAACAAGAAACAGTAAATTTCTGTTTATCTTTTTAAACGTTTTAATTTGCATGTTTCAAAGAAAGTTTCAGTATACACTAAAATATCTTGTTCAAGCGTATTTTGGTTGCAAACTTGTACTTCAATCATTACTGGTTGCAAACTTATGCGTCAATGTTATCGATTATAGTTGCGTAGACAGAACCATCTTTTGATGAGATAATTATTCCTAACATTATGGTATTTTTGGTATTTAGTTCCGCAATAATCAAATATTAAGTGTGCAACTTTATTTGTCATCCAATGAAAACGCTGTATTTCTGTGCAGCAAAAGTGGATACTATATCGAATTCCGTCCATAGTCGACTTCTATTTTTCATAGTACTTCATAAAACCGAATAGTGACGTAATAAAGTGAATGATAATGAGGCCAAAGAAAGCTTGACACTAATTGCAAGTTTGGCATAGCCAAGAATGATAATAAATAAGGCATGCTTCCAAGAAAAAGAAACGGTTTTAACATTTTTTGTTGTCCAGATTTTTATACTTTATAAAAGCAGGTGTCACGTGCCGCTTTGAAGCTGTAAAAAGTTGACCCAAACTTCACTTGAGTGTTGTTATATTTTTCTGGTCCTCAGGACACTAAAATGGAGTACCGCTGAAGCCGGGATAGTGGCGTGAGAGATATGGCCCTTTCTAAATTTTACCCCATGGGACAACTCATGTATAGGAAGACCGTCGAAAAGCAAACTCCCTGATACAAGTAGCTCATATGTTGGCCACCACTTTTAATAGTTACAACCCTAAGGTTGTTTTGACTCAATTTTTTACAATTGTTCACATAGAAAGAATGACGATAAGCATAAACCATAATGCTCAGTACGACTCAGTAAGTACCAAAGGATGATAGATCGGACGTGATCAATTGCCTAATAAAATTTGTAGAAAATTTCTCAAACTACAGAAATGAACTCTGGACTTGACATAGGGAAATTGTTCACACCTTCATATGCTTCCCATGAAAAGACATTATTACCAGTCATTAATTTTGTTAAAACATAAATTATGGTCAACGATTTTTATACTGACACCGGCATGTCCGTGGTCAAGTGGCATAAATTCATATTTTCACACGCCTGACTTTTCATTAATGAACTGAGAAACGTACAGTTACAGAAAAACACACTTGTATTATGGATGTGAAACAAAGAAAATATAACGACAAGGATCAACAATGCAAAGTAACTTTCAGAGAATGCAGTCCCCGACAAAATCCTGTTACACTGGACTGCCGCAAAGGTATTCAGTAGGGTACCCAACAAAAATCAGGACAGGGCACAAAAGCCATGACATAGAGTGGTCGTACCAATAAATGATAAGAATTAACAACTTAATACATAAACTCCTTAAAAATGTCAAAGCCGTATAAAACATTTTTAAAAGCAAGTGAAATAACACAATTGTATAAATTGTCAAGAAAATATCTGTGACTAATAAATATGATCGTTGGTGAATCCTTTTGCAGTTTTATATTTGACTAAAAATAGTAAGAATATAAGTTTGCAACAAGAAATGCTTGAAGTACAAGTTTGCAACCAAAATGTGCTTGAACAAGATACTTTTGTGTATAAAACCTTAATTTGAAACAGGCAAATTAAACATTTACACAAGATTGACTGAAATTTACTTTGTCTTGTTTTGGTGAACTTCAAAATTCAAAGATGTGAATAAATGAGTAGAAAACCGGACAAGAATTGTCACCCGTCTAGTCGCAAAACATGTTCATGATCTGTTTATATCTTCAATAAATCTAGGAAGCTGAAACCTAAAACCAAATGTGTCATAAACATTGCTTTAAGGAATAGGCACATTAATAATTTTCAAAATAACATACAAACCCACTTACCCGTAGAAAATACGTGCCGGTGTTGTAAATATTCATGACTCGGTAGCCATTTTGTCTTTTTGTATTGACCAGTTTGATTTTTGGTTTATTTCTTGCAAAAAAATGACTTTTGTATGGAATGAATTTGAGTCACATCATGGAGTATGTAGAAAGAATCGACTGAAGTCGGCTGTATCATCTTAGGCATGACGAAACGAGGCTAGTTACTCAATAAACTGACAGTCTGCTCACTTTAATTACCATAAGTTTTTTACTTACAGCTTTTTTTAAAGATTATTCTTGGCGGTTAAAACAATTTGTGTTATGTGAGGTGAGGTCAGTTATACAAAAAGGGAGAAATGTTTATTATTATGTCACACCTTGTAAAATAAGCCCCTAGTATTTACACCACGTGTTCGTCCAATAGAAAACATTATTGGATCCAATCTTTTAAGCCTCATTGTGTTTTTTTTTGCGAATCCAAAAACCTATATCTAATCTATAACGAACACAGTCTGTACTCGTTTTCATTTTCGAGTAAAGATTCCATATCAAATATTATACATGTAGTAACAAAGTGATGTATAAATGTTTCAAAATAGTGGTGTGAAAAGAGAAGTTATTATATATCGTTGAGTGATTACATAACTGCAAGACCTATATTGAACTGACAAGTTTTGACATCGTTTGAACTCGGCTTATAGAATTAAGAATTGTCATGACAATGTTTAATAACCTCATAATATCTAATTTCGAATTTGAAATTTCTATCTAATATGTTTGAAAATACTGGCACAGAAGTGGCCTCTGCGAAAACAAGCCGTCAAAAATGCTTATATCTGTATTTTATTTCAATTAAGTCTTTTTTATTAATCAAGGTCGTCGATTGTTTAACTATTTAACCAAAAAGACGTTGAAAATCTTACTAGGCGGCACAAGGCTTGTTGCTGATTGCGCTGTTGTGGTGATTGTAGTTGATGTTTGTTTTGTTGTTGTTGCTGCTGCTGCTGTTGTTTCTGCTGCTGCTGCTTCTTCTGTCGTTATTGCAGGCGGTGTTGTTGTTGTTGGTTTAATTGTTGATGTTGTTGGTGGTGTTGTTGTTGTTGTAGTTGTTGTTGTAGATGTCGTCGTCGTCGTCGCCGATGTCGTTTCGGGTGCTTGTGTGGTCGTCGGAGGGGATGTTATTGTGTTCGTCGTCGTGTCCTCTGCTGTCACCAGTCCAAAATACACATTTAGGGATAAACATATTAACATAATATGTGATACAGATACTCTATCCCTTCCCTTCATTTTTATTAGCAATTTCACTAGTGGTTCTTGACCTGTTTTTCAAAACAACTTTAATTTTAAATCCGTCAAAAGAATGTTTATTGTATAACACTCTTAATTATTAGTTTACGTCCTAATTTTATGAGAGAAAAAAAAACACTGTCGCGTATCAGATTTGTTTCTCTGAGAGGTTTTAATATTTCAAGAAAACTGCAATATGCTTGTCATGTACGTTAATTACTATGCTATGTCTTCAATGATATGTAAAATTACAAATCCAAATATGTAATCAATACGTGATGTGTTATCATAAATCAGTTAAATACACTAAACATCCTTAAACCGCACCCTATATAACAGTGATAATCCTCATGTGGCAAATATTACACATGTTGATTTTTTTTCTCAATAATTTCAATTTTATTACTTAAGACTTATTCATTTCGCAACCCTTCTTCACCGATGCCGTCAGTTCAACGTACAAATTGCATGTTCCAAAACTAATGCACAGGGGGTATACAATAGAGGAAGTTAATCTCTTAAAACAAAATAAATATTTGTAAAAGAACAAAAAAATCATTAATGTTTCACCTTTATTTCTTCCTTGAAAAACATATCAATTCGTGAGAATAAAAAAAACCATACCATAGTTCAAATAAGAATAAAACATGTAACGAAACTATACAAAAATATTTAATTTCCCCCCGTTGATTAAAATAGGCCAGCCCTGATAAGGCATATGGCTCTTAACCAGTTGTTATAGTTGCTGATATCTATAAATCGATCCTTCACGTTATCAGTTTATTATAGTGCATAAGGAAAAAATTGTCCCTCCGTTCTTTACTCGGTATTTTTCAAAATTAAATTAAATTTAAATAAAATAATTCTTACGTCAACAAATTATGTAATAAATGAGCGCCTCGAATCTATAAAGACACCCTTAAATGTCATTATATTCATTTATGTTGTTGTTGTTTTTATTGTTGTTCTTGTTGTTGTTGCTGCTGTCGTCGTCGTCGTTGTCGTCACATGTATTTATTAATTTCGTTCAATCGAATAGTTTGTGTAATGAACGAAATAAAATGCATGCGACTAAAGATAAATTAGTATAGATAAAAAAGAAACATGTGTAATGCCAGTTATATGTGTCAGATTCACTGGCAGCTATTCATAATGTAATGAAACAATTGAAAATAGTAATGAAAAATGTCTAAAATGCCGCCGACGATGGTATATTGTTGAAAATTAAATTGTTTTTTAAATGCGTAATACCGTTCAGAAAAAAGTTCAGCTGAAGATGTTTAAATTTTAAAATTATTTGATTCAAAATATGATTTTCAAGCGAATATTCAAGCATTTCCAATAAACCTTTGAAAGAGCTACACATAAAAGTATTGTTTCAGAGAGATTATTGACAGTGCAACTATATAGGCAAATAAATTTTGAACAATGTACTGATGATATTTTTAAGAATAAAAGAAAAGAAAGAAAACTTATAAAAAAGGCATGATTTTAGGGTACGTGGCTTTGCTTGATTAGAGAATTTGTTGGCAAAAACTAATAAACTAAAATATCCTGTTTAAAGTGTAACAATATCTTTGTGTTTAACTATAACCAATCTAATCTCAGCAACACGTGGTTAGCTTGGACAGGGTGTGGCATTTCTATACTGATAAATTATGCATTCAAACAAGGTCAATTTAAGCCAGATCATATAAAAATTTCTATTTGATACATTTGTGAGTATTAAACCGAACTGTTTGCAGTATTTACAAGCTTTTATTGGATAAACACTAGGCAGATTACATCAATTTATTGATACTTTATTTGTTTTGGGTTTTATTCTATTGTCCAATTAAACAAATCTAATACTATAAAATTGGCTATATTTAGATATAAAACCATTTTGTAGTGACAAGCCTCATAAAAGTCGTGATCGCTTAGGTAAAATGTTTTTTTTTATATGTATCATTTATGCAGGAAACTAACTAATATTTCACGTATAACATTTACATGTACATGTATACATAAATGTTGTTATCAAAAGCTATCCGACTATCATATAAAGCGGAAATTATCTTGCTCAATCTTAAAATCAAGATTAGGGATTAATTGTATGTATAAGATTGATAACAAATGAATAAAATTAAACTTTATACATAAAGATTACAGTATACTACATATATCATTGAGAAAATCGCCCAGATATACATGTTCCCTTAAATGACAACATAAATGTGATGTTATATTGTACATGTGTACATAACTTTTCATGACTTTAATAATGCTTAATATCAATTGGAGACTTTCAGTTCATTTACAGCGTATGTTTTATACATTTCCAAACGTCAATAAAGAACTGTTTTTAGGGAACGGGTTTTTTTCTTTTCTTTTGGTTTTGTTTTTCTTTTTTTTCCCCCAATACTTTTCGAATTTCAACTTAAATTTTACAGTGACTCCTTTGTGACTCAATGATAAAAAATCACAATTGTAGATTATTTCTTGCTTAATCTTGGGTATTTTGTCGAATAGATTTCAATATCTTAGTGGTAAAAAACAATACTTAAACTTGTTATCAATGTTCTTTAAATCGTAATAAACTGTCACGAACCGCTCACCAAGAGCTTGCTTTATGTGTCATTGTATTTTGAAAAGCAATTGATAACAACATGATTTTCTCCTGGCTTATATAGCGGTCCCAAAATAGAGAGACCAATCGCGTAGTCTTCTTATCTATAACTTGGTCATAAAATATTTCATTGAGGATATGGAAGTACACTTCAGGTGTGTCACCAAGAAGAAGGAGCGGTCCATAAATTACAGGGACACATACCGGATTATAAAGTAACAACGTAGTTATATTTATTTCGAAATCAGTATGTGAGAGTATGAGTATGTTTATCAAATTATGAAAGGTATATTAGAAAAACAACAAGCAATTCACTGTTAAAGGTAGTCAATGTAGTAATAATAAGGTATATCATAAGGTAGTCGACTGCTGCAATTAACTCGGTCATTTTCGCCCCTTTTCGACGGGAAGTTGTTAGTTCAAGCTACCGTCAATGCCCCCATAGCACCGTATAGGTAACAGATCATCTAAATGGTGACTAAACATTATTTAATCAAAATAGTGGAACCATCCGTTAAGGAAAAGATCAAATAGAAGGAACTAAAATTACCACAAAAGCAGCAATAGAATTGTCCAATTTCACGGCCTCTTCACGACACAAACAACGCTAATTCACCAATAACATTTTTAAAAAGCAGAATCCATAAAGAACGACCAGAAAAGCAAAAGTGAAAATCTTGCCAGTAGAGTCTGGTTATCCCTTTTACCTCCAAATGGATGGGCTAGATTTATGTATTTCATTAATTAGGTAATGATAAACTACGTTGCTTTGATGTATTTATTTACTTTATGTTAAATTCAACTAATAAATTGATGTATATTTGTTTTGTTGTTGCTGTTACGGCGGCGGCAGCTGCTACTATTGTTTGGCAACATTGACCTGAGACATTAAAATATTCAATGACCTTTTCTTGGTAATTATCAGTTCTGAAATGAATCTTACGGATTTTAAAGTATGGCATAACGGTATACATGATTTATGTATAGCTAAAAGTAACTGACACAACATGGCTAACTAGTCTTAGTGATATGGAGTTAAGGACTTTTAGTTGTAGGCTCGAAACTTGACTACTACGTTTTTGTGCATGACAGTCACCCTTGTATGACTGTACAAAACGAAATTAAGAGAATTTACATACGGTATACATCTATGCATCTAAAATTATGTTTGTTTTAGGAAAAGACATCAGAAATGAAACAAATGATTCATCCAATAAAGCTGCATATAATTTGAAAAAATGATTAAAGAAATCTTTGTTAAGGATACGAACTTGCAACTTCGCGATTGCTACATGTATGCTATCATACTTAACGCTATGCCATCGGGACATAAATATAATTATGCTAAAGTATCAAGAACTTTGCTATCATTAAAATCGTTTAGTAAATTGTAATAAATACGGAAATTAACGAAAAGGCTTCCGAAAATTAATCAGTCTCGGGTCAATATTGCAAAACAATACTACGAAAGACCAGTGGGGGCATTTCATCTTCACGAATTCCCGATTTCATCTTCATGAATGCTAGATTTCAACTTCAAGAATTCACGATTTTAACTTCATGAATTCACGATTTCAACTTCACGAATTTACGATTTCAACTTCATGAAGTTGAAATCGTGAATTCGTGAAGTTGATATCGTGAATTCATGAAGTTGAAATCGTGAATTCGTGAAGTTGAATTCGTGAATTCACGAAGTTGAATTCGTGAATTCACGAAGTTGAATTCGTGAAGTTGAAATCGTGAATTCATGAAGTTGAAATCGTGAATTCGTGAAGTTGAAATCGTGAATTCACGAAGTTGAATTCGTGAAGTTGAAATCGTGAATTCATGAAGTTGAAATCGTGAATTCGTGAAGTTGAAATCGTGAATTCGAGAAGTTGAAGTCGTTAATTCATGAAGCTGAATCATGAATTCGTGAATTCAGTATTTTGAAAACGGGAATTCACGAAGTTTAAATTGTGAATTCATGAAACTGAAATCGGGAATTCATGAAGTTGAAATGGCCCTACCGGACTTTCGTACAATACTGCTGCTACTGCTGCTGCTGCATTTAACTGCTATCGTTGTTATTGTTGTTCTTCAAAACTTAACAAATGTCACATAACAGTTATTTTTAGTTCATCGAATGCATGCATTAAAACTGTTTATTTAGCTTTACATTTTTGTTTCTTTTCTTTTAAACTTCCGAAGTTTTTTTCTATGGACTTGTTATTGATATATTACATTGATAAAGCCAAGAATATCGCTTGTGAACTTTAAAGGGTCGTTTAAAAATGTTTTCATTTACATATAATTTCTTTTAGTTTTAAGAGAGTTATGACATCTTAAAGGTTCAAGAGTTTCCGCGATTTAAACATTTAAATGTACATTTCTAAACGTTTCACTAGGCATTTTTTATTGTACATGCTCTGGTAGTAAATCAATTGCGGTTTTATATATTAGGACATTGAAATATGTTAAGAAGTATTATGGCAGCACTTCATAAAGGAATGTTAGTAAATCAAGTATAAGCATGTCCAAAAATGCAAGGAGTCGCCGTTCAGAAAATCGTAAAATAGACTGCTTCCTAAACGATAGAGCAAATGTTTCTTATTTTAGAGAAATATTCTGAATATTGTTTACCGCCCAGGAGCCGAGGTTCGTACATAAAGATGGTATTTCAACAACAACAACAAAAACAAAAACAACATGGCTGATATTGTGACCCGTAGACGCTCCTTTTTAAGGTCTTTTATCGTCCATTTTGTTATCATGTGCTTTTCAAGTCTCCGTTCTTACCAAAGCAAGGATTTCAATGGTGAAATCTTATTGATTGTATATGTCGCCATGTCGCCGTTTAGGAATGGCGTCAATTAGCGCGTGGTTTGCCTTTAGAGTATATATATGTATTGGTTATAGCTTCTATACGTCAGCGGTGGTTGCCGCCTATAGATACGGAAATTATGAACCGCTTCCGGGATTGGTAACGTATTGGTACCGATCTGAATATACATGTAGTAAATAGACATAGAATCCAAATGGCAAAGATATGTATGTAAAAAAATATATTGTAAGACAGCATATTAATGACACAAAACGGGCACATTATTCAATAATTCGTGCAATAAATATCCATAAATACCAGCTGCAATATAAATGACAGATTTATAACAATATGCTATCAACAGCAAAGCAAACATCTAAACCATGTGTCA